ATTTATGTCTGTTTAATCAAGTGCTGATTTATGAACTCCAAATTAATTGGTTCAGCTTACGAATCTCCTCTCTTTAATTTCGAAATTATCTGTTTTTAAAATGTGACTTGGATATAATAAAATAAGATAGTCGTTAAAATGCATTAACAAAATTTCGACTTCCATACAACAGTGTAAAAGGGATCGAAAAATCATATGGATTATTCTCAAATCACCACAAAGCTTTCAAAAGGGTTGTTGGCGCACTCAAAGTGGTTGAGGACATGTAGATGGATGTTCATTAAGATGGCTAACCTGTTTTTAATGTTTTCTAGATAAATCTCTTCAAGTATGTTCTATCTAGCGATGCCCAACATGAGCACGACTAATCCAATTCTTCATTTAACTCTTGAGTTGGTACAAGCTGTGGGCGAGAACGCCGAACAAAGTAACTACGCGGTACGCATGCAGCTGCATGCCCCTTTACCGAGACTGTAGAGGAGGGTTACAAGTGATCTATGCGACTACATAGATTTACACTATGCGGCCGCATTGTGTATTTTCAGAGGTGATTTTTCCAATTTTGGCATAATTTTTTATTTTAGTTAAAAATCTTGTATGATATATTTTTTATATCTTTAAGACTTAAATTCTGTTTTTAGCTAGATTTTATGGATTTCTTATATATAGGACTCATTCTATTCATTGTAAAGCACACAATTATTGAGAGATTATTGCGAGGCAAATTTGCTTGCTTATTGTTCTTCATTATAGTAATTTCTAAGTTATCAAAAATTAAATTCTTGTGGCGTTGTACAAATTCAAATAAGATTAATAAGTTTTGTGATCACAGGTCAAGATATTTTTAGCGATTGTCTTAGTTATTGGTTCAATAATTTATTGGATCAAGCTTTTTCAAACGTTGATTCATAGCTTTCTTGAGTTGTTCTAATTTATACAAATTATAATATAAAAAGCGAACTATACACTAAAAAAAAATCAGTCTATCTTCACCAAAAATTATACAATAAAAAGAGAGCTACATTTACAAAATCCCCAAAAACATCTTCAAATAATTCTCTTTAGCTGCATGTCTGGCTAAACTTAAAAAAATATATTATATTACAGATCAAGATTTTAAAAAAAATTGAAGTACTTATTTGTAAGTTTGTTTTTTATGATTTTATCCATTTCATCGCGTAAAGTAAGAGGGGATATAAGAACCGTATGTACCATGTTGATTATTCTCTAAAGGTAAGTTTTCTTCTTCCTCATGTGAAAAGGGATGTATGCAATTTCTTGAAAAAGGTAACTTCTTATACTATACGTCAAGCAAACAATATATATAAACATGTTAGATAATAACGTTTTACTTGAAAGTAAATTTAAACTACTTTTAAGCTAAAAAAAAAACATGTGAGCAATCCAATACAAGTATAAAAATTAATCTTTTCAATACGAATTGTGACTTATGAACAAGCAAGCATAGGTGTAAGTTTTTTTTTTTTTTTTTGGAATATTATTATTTTTATTCAAAGCTAATAAATAATTAAAATAAAGCATACAAAACCTCATAAATATATTTTATTTCAACAAAAATATAATTTTCTTTTTTTAAACAAACATTTAATGATTTCTTTTCAAATTTTATTTAAAATAATTCTTTATATATTAATTGACCAATCAATTTAAGCCCCTGTTTGGTACATATTAAAATTTTCATTCTCATTCTTTTACTCATTTTCAACCACACATTCTTCAATAAAATAATATTTTCCATTACATCAATAACTTTTCCTTATTTTTCAACCACACATTCTCCATCAATCTACTATTTCAAAATACATTCTTCCAAATAATGTGACTCACACACACCTTTAGTAACATTAAGTGTATCACATCTATTATTATAGAA